AAGATTCACTTTACTAGATTTTGTCTGATATACCATAATAATTGATGAAAAGCCAACCCGTTTAGTATTAGGAATCAGTTTAACATTCATAGGTTTAAAACCCTCCGAGACGTAGGATCGGCGGTTGGTTTTTTGATTCTTCCTCATTCAGTTGAGTTGTGACAACCGGCCAGATATCCAACGATGTTATCATGTCTTCGGTCCATTAACGTAATGAACAAGTTCTAAAAAGGTGGATTCAGGGACGAAGGGAAGTAAAAACCCGATCCGAGAACAAATATAAAGGGGGAAGAACGGTGGAAAACAGAAGGGCGGAGAAACTTTTTGTTGTCACTGGAATTGTTCAATATAATTAGTGTTGGGTAAAGGGAGTTTCTTATTGGCCCCCGACCTGACCTGCTATATTGGATATCCACAAGACCGACCATCTGCCGCACAGAACACTACACGTTTTTCTTTAACGCCTCTTTCCCTAGACCCCTTCTACTCACCTAATATCTTGGTATAACTTTAAAAGTTCTCTCCTATTGTTTTTCTTCTAGAAGGGAAAAATATTAAAGGCTAGGCTTTATTGTTTTTGCTTCTGACGTCTCAAATAATCCAGCCGAAAATATTTAATTTCGTTTTCATCCGTTTTCCGTCAAAATAAGACTGTAAGAATCCTATCCCTCCCAGGAATCTGAATCCCTTGTAAATCCAACGGCTGAAACATAAACAACCTATAAATATGTCAACGGGACTTCTCGTATTTCTTATTTCTGGATCTGAGCGAAATAACATCCTTCTAGAAACGAAAGGTGTAGTTTTCAAAACTGAATATTCGCATAAAATTTAGTCTTAAAAAGTCTGATTATTAGCTTTAAATTTTATATGAAATACGTATATATATATATATNCTTGGAAATAGTATGATTCTTAATTATGACTCCAATCTCAGAGTACAACGCACGCTTTATTTAGTAATAAATTTGAAAACGTAAAAGCTTTCTGTCTGCGTGCATTGTACTCTGAGATTGGAGTCATAATTAAGAATCATACTATTTCCAAGATTTCAAGTGGTTTCATTTTTCGTCCTTCTTGTTCGTCGTGATGTAGTTTCATACTTGTATGTATTGTTGAAAGTTCGTGGTGGTTTTCTGTAAGGTTGAGAATTTCAGGTCATCACCCGGCTGTCCACATTGAGGAATCTCACAATGCACATTATTACGCCTCCTTATGTTCTTTTTTTAATTTTATAAGTCAAACACCATCCCCGATAAGTTGAATTGCGGATAAGTTGAATTACTTTGGCTACTACGTTAACCCCGAGAATAGAAAGTGTAACAAGTGTAAGTATGTTAATTATTTCACAATACAGTTAGTGAATAATATTGATGTTAGTAGGGTAAATGGGGTTATGAAAGGTTGTAAAGGGTTGACAACGTTTACTTTTCAGTCATAAAGGAAGGAGGGTTGGTCTGATATGACCTAGTTGTTTAACATTACTGACAAAATCTTGTTTTATCGCAAATTATTGATTCATTTGAGTTTTATATGGAAAACTTGCTTCAAAGTAGCGAATAAAAAAAAAAAAAAAAAAAAAAAAAAAAAAAAAAAAAAAAAAAAAAATTAGGGGCATTTGACGAAAAAATTTCAAAAGATAAGTTAAACTAAAAACTTATAAAATAAGGCGTCTCTTTTTATGTGTGGATGGAATTGATTGTAAATCGAGATATTCTTACAATATTTGTCATTCTTGAATTAATTAAGTGTAAACGTTTGCTGATGTATGCAAATTTAATACGAAATTAGGGATGGGTTTACCCATTGGAATGCTTCCACTTGTTTCTAGAAAATCCTCTTACAAATTACAAATTCAATTGAGTTCTCACTTGGCTAAAGAAACGCTTTTGTCCCGTTCGTGTCTGCAAACTTATGCTTCACTCCATCCATTGTTACGCATTATAATCATTGTGATTTCGGAAGAAAGTAATAACTGAATAGTACATTCATTATCAGTAATTTTCTTGTAAAACTACAATCTTCCACGGTCGTATTTGAGTGCTACGCAATTCTTTAATGTAGTCAAATTTCAGAAGTGTTTCTATTGAATTACAATTTGATTCTCAATTATATTGTTGTAATTTTTTTCTTTTGCTTTCTTACTAAAAATATCGTAAGCTTTTACTTAGGCCTTACATATACTTCGGTACTGATATTTTTAACCCTGTTGAGAGGAAAGTCCTCTTGCGTCCACAGTTTTGTCCTGTGGAGTTCTGTACATTTTTATTCTTTACAGGGGACAACGGAGTACCATGGGATTAAACCGTTGAAAGGGATATTGCATTTTCGAAAACTGTTCCGTTTCGGCGTCTTTCCGCAAATTGGACGGCCAGGGTATAGTCCATTGAGAGGTTTTACGGTTTCACGATATTTCTCACCCCAAGCCTTATTCGAGAAAGGCAAACTTTATCTGTATTTCGACGGTATCGCAAGATGTTTTCTATTTTGTTTAAACAGACAGACGCTATTTTATGTAAGTTTGATGCAATAGAGCTAGACTGAATTTAATGGGGAACTGATTGGCAGGACGGGCCCATGGGATCTCCCAATCACCATGGATTAGCACGGCATATACATATTTCATGAAAATGTTGGTGCTTAAAAAAACATAATATGCAAGATTTGACTTATTATTATATTTTTACAAAAATTTAAAAGGTTTATTTTTTATGAAAAGTATGAGAATGAAACAATAATCTTCATTTATAACACAATTTGAAAATGCGTGCATTTCCGTTTTTGTCAATATATATTTGAATTTCGAAAATTATTATATGATAACGTGGTGGTCGCTTCAAAAACGTTGAAGTCCGCAAGTACTTAGTATCATAGACCCCTCTTAATTCGGTTTTGTGATATGTTCTTATTTCACCCTGTCCTACAAACTTGAAAATGAATTGTAATTATTTCAATTATAAATTGAATTACTTAAATATCTCCTTCTGGTAGGGATTTGTCGTTTTTCTCACATATAACGACATTTAAGATAGGTCTTGCTGTGGCACGCCAAAAGAAGAGAATTTAAGCTTTCTTAAAGTTGTAATGAGGTAGAATCAATTATTTAGCGAAAAACTAGACAGTAGCGAGAAAAAAAATTGTTCTAAGCCAAAAAGTTATATTTTTTTATTGCTTTGAAAATTCGTATTTAAAGGTTTTTAAAGATTGCTTAACATGCATCGGACTTGGATTTTTTAATTGGAAGTGTCTTTTTTAAAATTTTTTGTATATCTGATCTAGATTAAATTGACATAAGGTATTATTTTCTTATCGTACAATATCGAATCGAAAAAAAAAATCACTCAAGATATTTTTGTAGGCTCCTAAGGTCTTCGGACACGTATCTTATATTTTTGTCTGCCCAGTATCACCAAAAGTTTTTTGTTAAAATCGGAGACTCCGCTTTCGTAGCCCTTCGTTGTTAATTTCTTTTGAGCGTCTGTGGATTGTAGTTATTATGGTAGCTATCTGATTCAGAAGATCTAAAGCTTCAAATTATTATTTTTGTTGTTAACCGTTACTTTTATTAATTAAAAAAAAAATTGTTAAAATTTACAGCAGTTAAAACTATGTATTATTAAAATTTATTACACCGAGTATGAGAATAGGTTATCAGTTTAGCGAAATTGCACTGATGTGGTTAATATTTGATTGAGATTTACGACAGTGGTAGTTTAATTTTGGCAGCCCGGGCTTCAGTATGGATAGTAGTGGTGTGTTTCATTGAAATGGAACAAGTTATCGATGCTACTGAAGATGGATGACAATAGTGTTCCAAATAAAGTATTTTATATGTGTTGTTCTAACTAATGTACTTAGCGTTGTCTACACTCTGGCCCAAGGCTGGATAATAGAGGGGAAGAACAGTTGTATTTTTTCTCTTGATGGTATTGATCTTAATCCGCTAGTTGCGGTTTCAAGGCGTATGAAGCATGGTCAAAATTTGAAAGCTAGAGTTCGTACTGGTAGGCAGTGTATTTTATTGTTAACGTAGGATCGATTGGAATTTGATTAGGAGATTGGACGTCAGAAATTTTTTAACAATAATTACATCATGTTGTTAATAATTGTTATGCAAAAAATAGCGGCGTTTTTCAAATGAAATTTTTTCCTCCACAACTCCCGTTGATGGAACACCTCAGTAGATATTCTTAATTTGCAGCCTGCTGTCCGAGTTTCCCAGACGTTTATTGGATAAACGTGAAGGGCCATGCATCAATTGAACAAATGGCTTGGTGTATTTAGTCACATAATGAAGGCTGAGGCCGACCCAAATAGTGTTCCCTTAAAACGTTTTCCCATTCACTAAATCCCAAGGCAAATTGTCCATTTGCCTCATAAAACGGAGTAGACTTCTTTTCAATCCTTCCTGAGCTTTTCGATAATAATAGCACGAGCTTATTTTATTTAGTATTTTTCGCCTCGAAGTGAAATGCGGCAATTGTAAATGGAATTACCAATTCTAATTTAATTAAAATGCCATGTCGGCACGCGAAGTCTTCCTAATTGCCGACATATCGCTCTCCCATTTTCCCCGAACATTTCCATCGTACGACTGGATTTGTAAGCATCCCTCTCCTCGGCGATTACCAAAATAAGTTGCACTGTTTATACAGACCTAAGTGAAACTATGTAAAAGATGATATCACATTTTTACACGGAGGTACAGTTTTATCTCCAGTGCGGATCGCGTTGCGTGATCCGGCCCAGTTAATCCATGGTAATTCCTGTTACCCCTTAAAATCAAGGCTGAGATTAAACCGCACGGGTTCTCGCTTTGGGCTGTGCGGATGTTTTACAATATTTACATTCATTTATTTTCTATTAGTATTCAGCCGAAGTAAAGGAGTGCCACAGTCTGAATACTTTACTGTAAAAATTAACTGTATCGAATAGAGTTGTAATACTCAATACCACGTTTAATATTAAAAGTTTACGTTTTGATTTTTCTTCTGTTTCAGGATTCCGCTGGCGACACGCCTCTCCACGACGCAATTTCTAAAAAATATGACGAGATGGTCACGCTCCTTCTCGATCACAACGCGGACATTAAAGTCACGAACAACAATGGATTTAACGCACTCCATCACGCTGCCTTCCGCGGAAATCCAAGGTAGGTTCCTTAAATTGTAATTACAGGGATATCGTTATTTCTGGGAATAAAGCCTACATCTTTTCAAATCCAAACCCCTTTGAACTCGTTAACAAGCTTCAATGAACTGAAAATAAAAAGGACCTTTGATAAATAAATTATACGAAAAATAACGAACAATATTAGTAATTAACAAATTAACTTTTGAATTAGAAATTATTTTTAAGGGAATATTGCCAATTTGCCCAAATGTCGTAATAAAATTTAATTTGAAACAATTAGTGCAGGATGGTGGTAACTTACCTTTAAATAGAAAAACTTTTGGTTGGTTGGAGACCTGATCAATTTTATTCATCAGTTTTTCCAGTTTGTGAACAATACTGTTTCAAATTTAAAACATAACGTGCTTGTTTACATAAAGTTATCTTACAGAAGGTTTTTGTATAAATTTACTCATTTAAACGGTATATTTACTGATTACAGTTGTAGTAATTTAATAGGTTAGGTGTCTTGTGCTGAAAGGGCAGCACAGATGTGTCTTAGTAACAACCGCGCAAACTAATTAAGTACACAGTTGATATGCAATACTCTTTCTTCCAGATTTCAGCAAGGCCCCTGGATGATTTATCCTTTTCATGTCTCCTTCAGAACTATCAATCACCATGTTAGTCAGTATATTATTGTTTGTGGGAGAATAATGAGTTAATCATCTTGGGAGAAGGATAATAGATTTATTGTAATAATTTTTTTGGTTTCATGTTGTATCATACACATAAGGTCTAGATTTATTGGTAGAATTGGTTTAAAAGCTGACTATTGTGTGCTCTTAGCTTACAAATATCTAGACGACCCTAAAACCATAGTACGCACTGGAATTCTTATTGACTCTTTGTCGCAGACTCTCGGATACATGTCGCAGTCTCTTTGCCCCGCAACATTGTCTCTCCGGAAATCGCGTCCTCATCTAGTTCGAGTCTGAGCCATGTTGTACTAGGTCGCGCTCTCAGGGATTGCAGTAGCACTTTACATAGCTCTACGGAGTAAAAAAAAGAGCTAACAAAAAGCCACAACGTTGGTGGATTCGTGGGATATTCAAGGACCGGAATAAGCATGTGCACGTCTTTTCACGTTGAGATTGGAAGACAGAATGGGATTCCGAAATGTTGTTCGGATGAGTCCAGTCGACTACACAGGCATTTTCTATACAAGCCCAAAACGAGCAATCAAACTCATTAGGGAAGTACACTTCGGTCTTTCAAGCGGAAATACATGCCATCAATGCTTGTGCCCTGGAAAATCTTAAAAGAGGTTACACTAAAAAAAATCCTCATAAGATCAGATAGCCAAGCAGCTATTAAAGCATTAGCATATAAAAGAATCACATAAAAATTAATCAGTGAATGCATCCAAAATCTCCAAAACCTTGGGAAACACAACAACCTGATGATATCTTGGGTGTCAGGGCACGGGGGAATTTTGGGTAACGAGAAAGCAGACAGACTGGTCAGAGGAGGATCTGCAAGACGATACATAGGCCCCGAACCTATTCTTGGGATAACAAATATAGAATCCACCATCGCAGAATGGATCCAAGCAAAACAAAAGGAGAAGTGGATAAACTTTAGCGGTGCTAAACATAGTAAACTTATGATGAAACAACCCTCACCGAGACTGGCAAAAACACTGCTGCAATTGGAGAGGGCCAAACTCAGAGGAGTGGTAGGGCTACTAACAGGTCACTGGTATCTGATAAAACATCTATACAACATGGGTATATACAGCGATGATCCCATTTGCAGATTATGTAATGAGGAGGAGGAAACAGCCACTCATATCATCTTCGAATGCGAAGCAACTGCTCATTGGAGGTTTAACCTAACGTACGGAAAATACTTAGGGAATCAAATTGCAGCAGCAACAGTCAATGACCTGATTCTTCTAAGAAGAAGGATTGAGTCTATTGACTGAAATAAGGAACTAGGAAGGTACAATAAGCCAGAAGGCTGCAGTGCCTGGGGAATACAAACCCCGCTTCCTAGTATCATTTTTCACCATACCATACCATACGAGTCGACTACGAAAGCCTTTTGGAAATGGTTGGACCACACATTTCGAAAAACGAGACGAATTTTAGGGTGCCAGTTTCTGCTACCAATAGGCTAGCAATCACTCCGTTTCCTCGCAAGTGGAGACTCTTATGCAAGCCTCATGTGCAAGCATGCAACGCTACCCGAAGCCACCCGATGCAAATCCAATGTCCAATTTTCCATAAGATTGTATTACCCCAAGCCACGCAACGCTACCCGATCCTACTGTCCAGATTTCCGTCGAGTACAGAACCGGACACTCATATTTTTATTTCAAACTATATGTACTATTGTCGTTATATCAATTACAACATACTTATTTTAATATAAACCATGTGTACTTGGCGTGCGCTTGACATCGAACAGAACAGGTAACATCGGCTCACGTCGCATAGCGTTGCATCGGGTGTGTGTTCCCCGCTTGACTTCATATTTTCGGGCTAACTTAGCCACACTGTCTGCGTTCTTTCTCCTGCCTTTGCATTCCTCCGAGGAAACGTCCCACAAACTTCGGCGTATTTGCAAATCTTCAATCAATGTTGCGCGACATTAGTAAAGAATCATAAATGGGATTCAAAAAATACTAAAACGCAACACATCAGATTCAATGCTCATTGTCGCGGAGCGTCCAGGATGCAAAAAAATGAATCCCAGACGTAGTTCCGCGGGAAAGAGTTTGAACAAAGAATCCCAGTGCATACTAAGCTTTACACAGCGAGATTATTCATTTTTGTGTTAGTGTGGGTTGGCCCCCAAGTCTCTAATATAATTTGCTATTCTTGCCTGGGAACTAAGTTTACAGTTATTCTCTTCCTAGTGTTTTCTAGTGCAGAATTCTTTTTTTTGGCTTTGAACCTCGTATGCTTTGATGATTTTTTCACTGTTTCAACAGATCTCGGTATGGGAAACACTGCATATAATTCCTACCTGCTTTTACGATTAGGGTTTCTTTTCCCCCATCCCGAGATGTTCTTAAAAAGTGTCTCTCTGGTTCCTCTTACGTTAAGTTCAGTACAAGTACTCTCTTCCGGTTATCCTGCTAGGCTTCACATGAGAAGCCCTCCCTCTCATGCTGCCAGAAAGAATTTTCAGTTGTCTGTCTTCTTTAAAAAATAAGAATACAAACACGGAACAATCCAATTCCCGGTCACGTGGAGAGTTACATTTCCTTTTGGTGTTTTCCGACCTCTGTGCGTACTCCCTTCCTCGAATATTTATTAATTATTTTAATTTTGTTTGAAATCGTTTCTTTTTTTATAATTTTTTACAAGTTTTTCAATATAAATTTGTAAGCATGACAAAATTTTAACAAATACCTCTCGTTCAATGGATGATTACTTAGTTGCTATAAACTATTAATAATCTTCTATAAATAAACGACGTTGAAACTTTTTTAAATATACATATATACTTTAATGTACTTTAAAACAAGTCAGATACTTGTTTTAATAATAAGTTATTTTTTCAATAATAATAACAATTAAAACGCAATAAATTATTTTGGTGTAGTTTTTACGAACATTCACACTCTGAAATCTTATGCGTCTGAAAACAAAAGTTCTCATTTTTCGTTGACTGGACAGAGGTTGGAGATTTTCTCAACAGATAGTATTTCATTCACTGCTGCTGATCTAGTTCATACTGAAAATATAAATACTTTCTTTGTGACAAACGTCTAATAGAGCAAACCTGTAAGGTATTCAGATCCAGTCGACCCTCAATTCGGTTAGCTTTACAATAGGTGTAAAGGGTGATGGACGAATATTAAGTACTCCACCAACCTAACTGAGTGAATGATATGTAAATAAGAAAGAATGTATTTGAGAGAGTGAATGGGCTTGGTTTTAGGAACGGATGGCGTTGGGTGCTGAAATGTTGGTTCCCCCTAGAGCCCAACGTCGAGAGCAGAACGGATAAGACCGAGGTCCGACCATAGACTGCTAACAATTGGGGTGTTTGATTCTCGAGGCCTGCTGATTTATTGTAAATTACGATACTAAAGCTGGACGTGCCGGTGGACAGTGAGAAGTGATAGGGCTCAATTCTGTACGTGTGCGTGTATAACTACATACACGTGCAGATGTACTCTTATATAATAAGCAGCCTATAATGTATGGGTATAACAACGTAATAAAAATAGCAGAACATATATGGTAATTGTGTACATACTGTCCTTGTAAAGGGTTTTTAGAATGATGATTTGCCGTGATATGCACGCTGTTCCTTTCCCATTAATCTTCTGAAGCATGGAATAGAACTTAATTAATTAAGCGGCGGGGTGTTCTTAATGGGCAATTCTCCCTATTCCAAGTATATCCCGATAATGTTTTGGGTGATAACGTGCTGTACTTGTATTGATCGTCAGTAGAATGTTAAATTCAATGGATACTAAATTGAATGCGTTCGAATATGGCACGGTATAATTGAGCGGAAGCTTAGTTTCATTGAGAGGGCTTCCACCTGAGATTCATGAATCCGTTGTTAATTCTGCCGGAAATCTCTGTTGCTGTCATCCATGAGATATGATAAAATATCGAAATTATACAAGTGCCCTCTGCATTTGACATCACGACATTTGAAAGCCCATTTTTGACTTTTCATTTTATACGCAACTGCTTTTAATTTTCTCTTTTGTTTTGTAAATAGAGGTAATTAATTATCCTGGCCGTACACCTGGCATTATTCATTTATTTTTTTAATATTTATATAACAATAACACACTCCACAGAGGTTTTCACATCTCAACCGTTTTATCATCCATCAGAACTTATTTACAGAGTTTTCACAGTAAATTACAAGATCATACTAACTCACAAAAACAATTATTTCATTCTAGTCAATTACCCCGTAGGCGACAGAAGAGAAATTTGAATCAGAGACCTCTTGAATGATTAATCTAGAGCGGCTGCCGATGGCTTTCTTTGGCTTTCTCTA